GGCACAATTACTGGTCTGTAATGTATTAAGTTACATCAGAAACCCTGACCCACTTAATTACAATATTAGTAGAGGTCCCCAAGAATCTTTCTAACTATTTTAGGGGTGATTTAAATTGGCAGTAGTTCTCAATCCTGGCTGCCCAGGCCTTCAGCTTGGAGGAGACTGACGAATATTAAAGATGAGAGCCTAAGCATCCCTGGGGCAGGTGCCTGAACTTGTTGGAACTACGGAGGTGGTGGTGAAGGTGGAGAGGACACTCTCTACAAACAAAAGTTATTTGCTCTTCATAGGTAGCCTGCTACTTTCCAGAGCATTCACAGAGTATTCCACTCTTCTCTGCACAGAGAGCTCAAAACTCGGCCTTGAGTTTGTTTGTGGAAATTAGTAGTCTAGTTCCAATACTACCTCTTCAGCCTCTGGCCAACAAGCTACTTTTAATAGTAGGGCTTGGGAAAGGACTAAAAATAGAATAGAGGAAGCCAGCACACACAGCCAGAGCATGCTCAGCAGAGGGAAGCTCAAACAAAGCAAAGAAACCTTATCCTATGGATAAATCAGACAAGGACGGGTTTTAAAAGGAAGAAGCCAATGCAGGTGTTCTCAGAAAGTGAAAGGAGAGACTAAATATCATGGGAGAGAGATGACAATTTCCAAGTAGTATTTGATGACTATTTGTCATCTAATTGTTAACCTAACAGGTCTGCTTTCTGTGTTGCTGCTAATGAATACATAAAAGCTTAGCTGTCACTTGTTCAAATTTTGTCACTTTGTGTGGTGAATTTCTCATCTTTCCTGATGGTTATCTCTAGAGAAGACATAGCTAGGTCTATTCTCTCTCTGCTGGTCTATTCTCTCTCTCTCTCCCCACCGTTTTCAAGGACTGTACTTCACTAGACCTCATTTCTAAGACACTAGAAAGTAGTCTTACAGCATTCAGGGAAGTAAATCCATTTCCATCCCTTTATTTTTTTCTTTTTATTTCTTTTCTATTTTCCCTCTTCTAGCTTTGGACCTGAAAATACTTTCTATGGGAAATGGACAGATACCTGTTGAGGAAGGCGCAACAGACTATCTGATGCAGCTTTGAGAAGCCAGAGGAGGGGCAGTGGAAAGCAGAGGAGGAAATAAGGAGTCAGTCATGGCCCAGAAAGTCAGCGGTGCTGGGAGAGGCAGTAAATGTTTCTTACTTTCCATGGAAGGGATGTTTGCATCTTCATGGACCAAGGGAAAAGTGAATAAATCACAGGGTCTGTCATAATTTCTTGACCTGGCCAAGAGGTGATATGTTAAAGCATAGTATTTTGGTGTGGGGGGGGGGGGAAGAGGTTAAACTTAAGACAGTGGAAAAAGAAAGAACACCAAGGCCTAGACCTACACCATTTTTAAAGGAGGGAAAAAGAGGAAAAATCCACTCCTTTTAGTGGGAGTGAAATAAATAGTGTGCTTTCTCCTTCTGTCCTAAATTTTCCCACCATTCCCTTGCTCCATCTTTTCCGTCCTCTGTTCTTTCTTACAAACACTTAGGAATGACTGCTCTGTGTCAGGTTCTAGGCGGGGTTTGACAGAATACAACAGGTCAGTGATTCTTCCACCCCACTGATAAATCATGAACTTGAGATAGTCGTTACTGTGTCTAAGATTTACCATTTCAAAATTAGCTAAGACTTAAATTTCCAAATAACTAGAGGTGGGTGCTATTTTGTAATTGACATTTCCAAGGCAAGACCATGCACTCATGACTCTCTATCACCCTCTAGAGACAATACCTACATATTGCAGGGCCAGTCCCTAGAAAATTGAATATACCTATAAAATCCTCCTACAAGTTGTAGTATTGCAAGTGCTATTGTTATCAGGCCTGCAGAAGAGATCAGGCCCTATGATCTTCAAATCAGTGGAATCAGAAGTTTTTCTGTCTAGATCAATGATTATGTAAGAAATGAGTCTGAATACTAAACCATGGAGGATTAGAATCTCTGGGGAGCAAAGATTTACTGAGACATGAGAGAAGAGCTCGGCAGAAGATGAATGACTTGTATGAGATTCAAGAGGAAGCCTCATGTCCCTCAAAGGGTAGGCACTCAACAAGTATGTGTTCAGTTGAACGAGAGGCCAGCAGGCTCCATGCTGATGGAGAAAAATGTCATAGGAATGAGATCTGTGGTACTTATTCAGGTTCATAGCTGGGGCTATTTTGCTCCCTAGGGAACATCTGGAAATCTTACATTTTGTCACAATTCTGGGAATGCTGCTGGCATCCCAAGAGTGGTGGCCAGAGATGATTATAATGCACAGGACAGTCTCCCCCCCCAATCGATAATCCAGCCCCAAATGCCAATAGTGCTGAAGTTGAAAAAGCCTAGCACAGAGCACAGGTGAGATTTGTTCTTGGAGACTCTAGCCCTGACCATGGTGGGTAATGTGTATTTTTGGCCACAAAAGGCCAGAGGAATATGGATGAGTTGATGCAAATGTATCTCAATGGAGAGACACAAATCAGGGGCATGGTGGTTTTCTGCTGAGTGTGGACAAACCCTTTGCTCCTGCCCCACCCAGTTTCATGCTTATTTGATGCTATGACTGACAGTGCTGTCTATCCCAGCCTGTTTTTTAATTCAGTCCATTGCTTGGTGACTTGAGCACTGATTTACGGCACATCTTTGCTGTCCAGTATCCTTCCATGTTCAATTCTTCATTGAAATCACACAAAGCTTGATAGTCATTTGTGGCAGAAGCACACACAGGTGCTTGCTACAAATGTTTATTTGGGCCCTACACCATATCTCTTGACTCAGAATTTTAATGCCCTGTGGTGCAGGAATCTGCATTTTAAACCAGTATCACAGATGATTTGGGTGCCCACTACAGTTTGAAGTAAGATGTGTAAACTAACAGAAATACGGGTATCATCTGCTCTTACTTGTAAAGCCCACTTATAAAGCGCTTAGGAAAAAACATACTCACTTCATCCTCAGGCTACCCTTTTGATGTACTGTGTTGATTTCTATTTTACAGATTATAAAATAGAGGCCGCAGAGCTTAAACAGGTTCCTTGGGGAAACCATGTGATTTGTGTGACCCTGATTTTTCTCCCCGTGATGCCTTTTCTCATTCTCCGCTTGTACAGCCCGGGTCACCCTTCACGGCTGAATTCAGTGAGACAGATTATGTGTGTTGAGCTGTCGCTTACTCGGAGTTTGACATGGACCACATTTTAACTATCTGGGTACCTTTAGGACTGAGCAGGGTACTAAGTTTACCTGCACTGTCACCACCTTGGTCCAAGACATGCTGCTGTTCCACTGATGCTGATGACAGCCGCCTAACCTGTTCCTCTCTGTCTCTGCCTCAGCGCCTCTGATCCATAAACTCCAAAAGGGACCACGTTGCTTTGTCACTGGAGATGATAATGCCTCTCTTTCTCTCTCTCACACACATACACACTCACTCGCTCACATCTAACAGTTTCTGACATGCTTCACCCCAGCCTCCAGCGTCCTGCTGACCCAGCAACCTGCTGTTCTGCCTTCTCCTCTGGTCTGTAACTCGGTCAATGTGGCAAACATGTTCCCCACTCCAAGACCTTACTTCTGCTGGGCCCACTCTGCTAATATTCAGTATCAGGCTGCTCCTCCCCTCTTTCCTATAAAACCCAACCACTCTCTTGCGGCCTTATTTGAAGTGTCAGCTCCTAAGAGACGCCTCCCCTGTATACATCTTATCTCCCACACTCTCCATATTGGACTCTGCTGTTATCTTTCTTATTAAGGAGCCTGTTCTTCTCCTTTATATAACATTTGTGTTCGCTTTGGTTCTTTTAAGTTATCCAGTGTGGCCTTTTCCACCGGCCGAGGAGAATGTAATTCGTTCATCACTGCAGACAAGGATCAAAGGCTCAAATAAATGTCTTGAGTAAACCACTAGGCACACAGCAAACCGGATGCCCCTTCACGATGATGCGAGCAATGTTTGTTATGGCTCATTTCTGGAGGTTTGGGTAGCAGAGGCCAAGATTCAATCTTAAAGAGTTGGAAGTAGGGTCAGTGGGAGAAGGGGAAGGCCATCGCCTGCCTCGCTTTGTCACAGACAGCGACAGGCTTATTGTTCTGTTCTTCCAGGCCGCCCTAGGGTATCCTGAGCGCATCTGAGCGTCGTTTTCCTCATTGTTATCAAGTTGTTAATGTTTCCCAAGGTCTTAAAGATAGAGCCTGAGGCAAATGGGATGGGGGAGGGGGTGGCTCCTGGCATTTGGGAGATGTCTAGGACAAGGACGCTAAATACCTTGACTCGCTCGCTAGACTTGCAGATGAAAAGTCTGGAGTGTAAGAAGTCGCGCCACTTACCTGAGCCTCCCCCCACCTCACCTCCTCCATCCGTGCGCTTAAATTACGTGTTCCCAGCCTGACCCAGGGCACTCCCCTCCCTCTCCCCGCGGTCGCTGCCTCCCCCCCTCACTCCCACCCTGCCTCCCCGCCCCCTCCCACCCTGCCTCCCCGCCCCCTCCGTCCCCTCCCCCGGAGCCGGAGCCCGAGCCGGGAATCCCACGCCCTGCACCAGCCCGGGGGCTCGGAAGAGCCCGGGAGCGTCTGGTCGCCAATCACCGAGCGGAGAGGCGGGCGCTCGGCCCCGGCGCTGGGGAGCCAGCCGGCGCTGCCTTCCCCGGAGCTTCAGACGCTCACACCGACACAGACAGACACGGACGGGCGGGCAGGCAGGAACAGGGTCCCCCAGCCGCTGGCGCTCCGGTCCCAGCCCGGGGAGTCCTCGCACCCCCTGGAGTGCCGCGGGCTGCAGTTTCTGCAGAAGGGAGGGTGCGCGGGCGGCCGGAGGAAGGAGGGGGGCCCCGGCGCGCGGCCCGGGCGATGTGAACGGCGGCGGCTCCCACCTGGCGCCGCACCTGGGGCGCCGCGCTCCGAGGCTGCGGGGAGAATGTGCGCCGCCCGAGCGCTCGGCCCGCCGCGTCCTGCCACCCACAGCCACCGCGCCCGCACCTGACCATGGAGTGCGCCCTCCTGCTCGCGTGCGCCCTCCCGGCCGCGGGTTCGGGTCCGCCGTGGGGCCCGGCGGGACTGGGGCGCGTGGCCAAGGCAGGTGCCACCGAAGGGTGCGCCGAGAGCGGGTGGCAGGGGGCGCCCGCCGCCGGCCCCGCCGTGCCCCTCACGCGCAATTGTCACCTTTTCTTTTGCAGGCGCTCCAGCTGAGCTGCCTCTGCTGTGCCTGGGTCGCCGCCGCCTTAGCCAGTGACGACAGTAGCGGCGCCAGCGGATTAAATGATGGTTCGTATTTGCCCTGCACCACCAAGAAGGGTCTTTCCGGGCGCTTTGTCCCTTCTTCACCCGAAGAAAAATAGAAAAGCGCAGCCCCTAACCTGGCAGGTGTGCGCCCTGTTGAAGAGGGGTGTGGCAAGGACAGGGAGCTTATCAGAAGGATCTGTGCCTGAAGGTTTAAGTCACATACAGGAGAAAATACTTCCTTCACAGGTGGTTTAAGGCGGGGGGAAGCAAACAAACAAACAAACAAACAAAAAAACTGTGGTGAGAAATTATAATAGAAATGGACATTGACTTGGGGGTTAATTATAAGGCTCCTTCCTCTCCGGGGAAGCTCATTCTTGGTGAGGGCTGAACTCGTGTGCGCCCGTGTCCTTCCTCCACCCTCCCTCCTCTGTCTCTCAACTTCTCTTCCGTTGATTTATTTATTCATTCATTCTCTGCTTCTTGCTTTCTTTGTGTTGTGGCCGCGCAAAGACTGCTTTTCGAGAGAGGCGAGGGGGTCACTTTGATCTCTTCTGATAGTCCCAGCACAGAATTCCAGAGCATCCTTCATCTTAGTCATTTATTAATGTCCCCAAAGGAAAATCCTTGTTTTGAGTGGAACAGCTGATTCCTGGCCCACGGTGTCTATAGAACCTCGATGCCCTTCTGAGTGCCTTGGGATTTTATGGCTTTTTTAGTTTTTCGGATTGTCCCCTTGTCTTGCCAAGGGATAAGGGGTCATGCTGGGGACTGGGACGCGTGTGGTGGTGGAGAAAGGGATTCACTCTTTGTCCAACCAGAGCTGGGCTGCAGTTTCTAAAACCACCCTTCTTGTTTCATCGGGAGCAAATGACTAGAGGTTCCTCTGTCCCTGACACCACCTGCTGTAAGGACCTTTAGTCAGCTCCTGCAGTGATCAGTCAGATTGCTCTTTACAGGGGACTCTGGCTGCCCCTCTTCCTACCCAGGATGGAATGTGACCATCAGCCTCCTTACTCTCCACCCCTCCCGTCCCCAGGGAGACAAGCTAGTAGCAGGTGTCTGGGGGCATTTCGCTGGCTGGTTCCCTACAAGGCTGGCTGGGTGAGCCTCCCACATGGCAAGCAGAGTTTCAGATGATTTTGGACAAGGAGGTAAGAAACAACTTATTGTAGAAACTGTCTGGAGGGGATGTCAGGAATGGTTTTCATTGTTATGTTTTAGGTCTATTAGGAGGAGGAGGTGGGTTTTTCTGTAAGAAAAAAACCCTGCATTTAATCAAAAGTCATATATCAGAGATTTTTTTTTTAAGAGAAATATTGTATGTCTGGCTCAGGCTTTCAAGATTAAGAGCAAAATCTTTCCCTCCCTTAATTATTTTTTTAAACACAGATGTCAATTTTATAGCATTTTCTAGTTGACGGAGAAAGTCAGGAAAACAGGGCAGGGAAAAAAGAACATAAGAGTAAGAGGTACCCCGGCAGCAGAGTAAGAACCACAGATGGTTCATGTGCAGAGGAAAACAGTCAAAAGTTACTGTCAGATTGGATTTTATTTTTTTTTCAAATGTGAGCCTGATTAGACTATCACTCCTTGATTCCTGCTAGCTCCAGAGTTTCTGATCATTCCTCAGTTTTTGTTATTTTAGGGGGAGTTGTTGACTGTTTAGAGAGAGGGGAAATTAAACTTCCTTCTCCCCTCCCCATAACCAAGGACCTAAGTGACTTAAACATGTCTCTTATTCAAAACCTTCCTAAACACTCTTCAAATTAGTTTCCCATTCTATGCCTCCAAAAGAGAAAAGTGGAGCTTTTTTTTTTTTTAATGGACGGAGGGCATATTTCAAATCATTTTGTAGGATGATGCTTTTCAGTCTCAATATTTCGTGAAGGAAAACAGTTTGCTGGCTTCGCCTCAAACGGCAAATTGTTTCAGCTCCTGCACCATAGGTATTTTGAAACATGCCTTTCCAGTTTCCAGGTGTCCCCTGGTCTGACACTCCCCCAGTCAACATGCCTGAGCAGTTTCACGCATCAGACCGTTTAGGAAGGGTCTGACGATTTTGAGACATTTTTACCCACACACTGTATTTTGTGCTTGCAGTGAAATGAGACTGGCTTTCTGAAAGCTCAGAGTAAAATGCAACTATTGCTGGCGTTTTATTATCATACAAATATAGTATTGGAAATGCCAGATAGCTGCTATGCTTGTTCATGATCTGAGGTATCAAGCGAAGCCACCCAATCCGGAGTTATCATTCTAAATGTAACTAACATCCCCCTCTCCCGCCAAATGCTGTCAATTCAGTTTAACCACAAAGACGTTAACCTCCTTGAAGGAAAAAATATCATTTATTTGTTGGGCGGTGCCTGTGGCTCAAGGAGTAGGGCGCTGGCCCCATATACTGAGGGTGGCCAGTTCAAGCCCAGCCCTGGCCAAAACTACAAAAAAAAAAAAAATCATTTGTTTCATGATTTTGTATTTATTAACTTTGCCCCCCCCCCTTTTTTTAACCTATGGATAGCTCCGTGGCTAATATTTTCAAAATCTGTCTCTTCCCTGGACAAGGACAGGTGTGGCATTGCCCACCTTCTGGTAATTCATCAAAGTCAGGTTTGCCTTTTGGTTTCTGCAGACGTCGCTATGACAGAGGTCCTTGTGGAGGCTGAAGGGTCCTCTCTGTGAGCTGTTCTGAATTATATTTGATCTAGGTATATGGCCGTAGGAACAAAGATATCTTTGAGCTGGGGGGTGTTCTGTGCCAGCCCGTTGGAAAGTAACCATTTGGAACTGTGGACTCCGGGTGCTGACAGGCGAAACTTTTCCCGTTACAGATTACGTCTTTGTCACGCCGGTAGAAGTGGACTCAGGCGGGTCGTACATTTCACACAACATTTTGTACAACGGCAGGAAAAAGCGATCAGCGCAGGGTGCCAGGAGCTCCCTGCACTACCGATTTTCAGCATTTGGACAGGAACTACACTTAGAACTTAAGCCGTCGGCGATTTTGAGCAGTCACTTTATTGTCCAGGTACTTGGAGAAAATGGTGCTTCAGAGACTCGGGAACCCGAGGTGCAGCGATGTTTCTATCAGGGATTTATCAGAAATGACAGCTCCTCCTCTGTCGCTGTGTCTACGTGTGCCGGCTTGGTAAGTGCGCCCCAGCCTGGGTTGAGCTGCTCCTCTCCGTGTCTGGTACAGCTTGAATGAACAGATGTCTGTAATAGTAAGTGCTCTTCTAGCCAACTCCACGCATTCACGCTGTCAGCTTCTGATACTTCTAATAGTCTCAATTGAATTAATCTAATCTGCTCCCAGAAAAAAAGAAAATATAATAGAACTTTAATTACCATGTAGAACGTTCTTTTGAAGTTTAATGGTCTGGGCCTTTTCATTCTCCCATGTTTGAGACCATCCCCAAGGAAATTAATTTGACGGCTGCCATTTGCTTTGTGGAGTCTTGGGAGACCAAGCATTCTATAAATCTAAAAAGCTGCATGCCGTCTCCGTTGCTTTGGAAGGGGAAAACTGTATTTCAATGCGAAATTGCACTCCACAGCCCTGGTAAGATCAATCTTGACTTGACTGGAGTTACTGGAGGGAAGGTCTTTTGTTTTCTTTTAATTGATCTCTTGGTGGTGTCCTGCTCATGTAAAAGATCCTTTTAGCATGGGGTGTGGTGTATGTCTGAATTGGCAGGGGTTTTGAGTGGTGGCATCCAGGGAGGCAGGACATTTTAAAGCATTTGGGACAAGTGTTATTTCCTCTCTGTGTAATGCTCATCTGTTGAGCCCCCGGCGGAGAATATCGGTGTAAATGATACTCCTCTCAGGATTCAATCAAATATATGAGGCAGTAAATGTTGTCCTGGGTCAATTTCATTCTAAGTAGCACTGGAGAGGTGTCTTGAACTGACAGAAGGGCCTGTGTGTGTTGAGACACACGGTCCAAGGTGGAGGAGATGTGAGAAAACCCAATGGTGGATGGAGTTAGCAATGAACTTGAGACATCATAGAGCAAGAGTGGGATGGCTTAGGTGTGGGTGAACCCAGACTCCTGTGTTCTTTGTTAGGGGAAACTTTCAGTTATTTTTTTTTAACTGCCCCCCCATATCATAGCCTGAAATTTAGCTAAAACTTTTCATCATCATTATAATCCTGATATTCTTTGGGTCTGTTTAAAGTGTAGAGTGAAGTAAAGCTTTAACAATTCCCGACTAAACTTGTCCATGGAAATAATGAACATGGCCACTCACGACCTGTTTATTAGTACGTGGTTACCCACACACATGTGTGTGCACAAACACGTGGTATGTCTTGGTTTTCTTGTTCGTTTTGTTGTGGTGAATCTCTTGCCCCTTTTCTGCTGTTGTGGGCGTCACCCCCTGTATTTCTCTCTTCTATTTCAGATGCTAAAGCTCCCAGAGGAAGTTTAGGCAGTCACCCTAGTGGCTTAAACCATCTCATTCCACATACCAGTGGTTAAAAGCAGTCTCCCCAGGTCCTGATTCTCATATCAGCCTTACTAGTAGGGTCCCAGACAAGTGACTTCTAGTGCCTCAGTTTCTTCACCTGTAAAATGGGAGTAACAGCAGTTCACATCGCAGCACTGTGGGGATTAAATGACTCCTTCCCCAGAAAGCGCCATAGCAGTCACTGGCAGGGGACAGTTGTTCTACACGTGTTCTTTTCCCACAATACTCAGCGTCCCCGTTAATTCTCTTGGGATTCCATTCTCTGCAAGGCACAGGAAATCTGCTCAGTTGTCTCAGATTAATAGATGTGGGGTTATTTCATCTACGGGAGAGATTCCCTTTCAAACAGGGAGAAAATTATTGCTTCACACGTAACAATGCTGTTGGTTAAAATTCCTCACCTTTGTGCTAGGTAAGAAAGAAGTAATTGACAGCCTGATTTGAACACAAACGGGGTTCATGCGCTCAGGTGACCCTGACCATTCAGCAAACCAGGTGTGTGTATCCTTAGTTAATGAACTTCACTTCTCTCAGCCTCCGTTTGCTCTCATGGACCACAGCTGGTGATTTTTAAGATGTCTATGTTCTCCAGGTATTTGACTTTGATTGTCTAGTTTCTTGATCCTGGCAGGTTAAGGGGTGGAGAGAGAATCAAGGTTTTCCCTATCCTTTTACCCCCTCCACGCACTTGACAAACAACTGCAAAACCCAAACACACTCATGCTTGAGAAAACAATAAGAAACAAAACAAGAAAGAGAACAAAGACACAAGTAGCAAGCTGAGAAGCTGCTCTGTATTGATTTTTGTGAACTTGTGTTGAAGTGTAATGCATATATACAGAAACATGCAAAATGTATATACAGAAAAATGAAAAAAAAAAAAAAAGAGAGCACAGCTTAATAAATTTTTGCAAAGTCTATACCCATGTAACCATCACCTAGATCAAGACCCCTACAGGACCTTCCTTGCCTCCTTCCCCATCCCAACCCACCAGAGGTAGCCACTATCTTAACTTTCAACATAGTTTAATTTTGCCTGTTTGTTTACATAAGTAGAAGCATTAAGTATTTTTCTACATGAAGAGTCCATACTATTTCCATCTAATTGTTTGTCCTATCAAATTATTTCCAGTTTGGGGCTGGAACACTGCGAAGTATTTATAGACATGCTCTTGGTAAACTATGGACACATTCTGTTGACTACGTGCCTGAGAAAGAAGTTGCAGAGGTGTAGGATTATACATAGGTTGAGTAGCCCTTATCCTGCCTGCTTGGGAATGGAATTATTTTAGGTTTGGGATTTTTTTTTTTTTTTTGGATTTTGGAATATTTGCTGTATATATACTGATTGGGTATGTCTAATAAAAAAAAATAATAATTTGAAATCCACAATGCTCCAGTAAGCATTTTCCTTGAACATCATGTTGGCATTCAAAACATTTCAGATCTTGGAACATTTTGGATTTCAAATTTTTGGATCATAGATAAACTCAACTTTTGTGTATTTGGGTAGAGTAAATACTACCAAGGAGCTTTTCAAAGTGGTTGTAATGATTTGTACTCAGCAGCAGCATTTAAGAGTTCTAGTTGCTCCACACCCTCACCAACACTTGTGATTGTCTATCTTTTCCATTGTAGCTATTCTGATTGATGAGTGAGTAAAGTTCAGTATCCTTTCTTAAGCTTATTGGGCATTTTTATACCTTCTGTGATTTGTCGTATAAGGACAAGATGTAGTAAAAGACATCAGCCTACGTAGTGGTAGTTTTTTCTTTATAAATAAAAACAAGAATTTTGAACAAAAATGCCTTTGCCAGCTTGATATCTTTGATATGTCTGTGAACCTCTTCACAGTTCATCTATTTGCTTATGAAAATCTATCCAGTAGAAATCGTCCTGTGAGATTGCTTGAGGGGGACACTTTATGAAGGACATTGAACGATAGAGATGGAATAGAAATAACCAAGAAGAATTTCTTCCTTCTTGTAGCTACTCATAGACATTACTCAGCCATCATGGCCAAGCAGGGAGTCACAGGTCCTCTAACATTAATGAGCAACTATAGTAAGGGATTCTGAATCATAGATGATTCAAGAGTTCAGGAAAAGAACCATTCGCTAACGTGCTTGTTGGACAGACCCATTATGAGTCCCTTGTTGGAGGGACTCATCTTTTAAGATGCCAGAAAGGGGCTCGGCGCCTGTGGCTCAAGCAGCTAAGGCGCCAGCCACATACACCTAAGGTGGCGGGTTCGAATCCAGCCTGGGCCCGCCAAACAACAATGATGGCTGCAACCAAAAAATAGCCGGG